ATATATATATATATATATATATATATATATATATATATATAGATCATTGGATACATCATTTCAGTAATTAGAATTAAGTCAAAATTTGGTCAATCATTAATGAGAATATGGTAATTTAACATACATATTGTGGTCAGACTTTCATATTTGACCATTAAGTAGGAATAAATAGACATTACACATGTAAATGGGTCCCACCATAAACTACCCACCACATTTACTATCTTTCTCTCTCTCTCTCTCTCTCTTTCTCTCTTTCACTTACACAAAAAACAAACACTTGTACACACAAATACATGCACAACAAATCGGCACCACCACCTGCAGTCGTCGTCGTCCACCTACTGCCGGCAACCGGATGTCCAGTCATGTCACCACCATCCCCAACCACCGTCGACAGACCACTCCCATCTGCCGACCGCCCCACCTACACAGTCTGACCGTCGTACATCACCACACTGGCCGCGCGACACCGCAACATATCGTTGCGTATTATCAGCTTGGCCGTGGCGACTCCGCAACAAACCTCCGCGGCTCTCCAGCCCGGTAGTCGCGCCTTCCAACCCGTTCTCCGCGCCTCCGCAGCCGGGCAGTGGCGGCTCCACAGCCCCGGGGCTGGGCCACTGCAGCCCGTCATCGGAGACGAGCGACGATCTTCCGACATAAACCAACAAATCATCCTGTAGGTCCGTCGTCGGAGGTGGTTACTGGATAGATGGAGGTAGTTGAACATCCCAGTTGACGCGCCGCAGTCAGTTGAGATGGTTGTGGCCTGTGAGACATGGTGGTTGTGATGTTTTTGCAGAATTTTGGATGAGGGTTTGGTTTGTAAATTTGATAAGTAATAAAGATTTGATTGCAATTTAAAAAATTTTAATATATTACAATTTAATTAATGAGTTAAATTCGTAATTATTCAAACTATAGTAAATTTTAATAACTTTATTGGGTATTTGGTTTAAAATAATATTATGTTATATAAAAATTTTAAAAAATGATAATAAAAATATTATTTGGGCAACGCTATACATAAAAATTAAAAATTTAATAATATTATTTCTTATATTGATCGGTCTTTTCGACTATCTCGGTTATTTTAAAAAATAAAGTCGATATCGAACTGAAGTAACAGTAATTTAAAAATAAAAATAGATCATTGAACCAAGATATAAAATTTCGAACCCCGAGAATTTTAGGTCAATTGCTTTAGGTTTTTATTGTGCAACTTGTTAATCATGAAAGTTCAATTCATCTAACACTATTGTGCAATTGCAGTCCCGGCATTTATTTAATGATTTAATCCATAACAAACTAAAATCAATCTGAAATAATCGACTTGTTCGATCGGTTAACTGAATTAATCTTAACAATATAAATAATTAATTATTTATATTATAAAAATATGAGAAGTCGAAAGCACTATTGTGCACTCTCACAGATAATATTGTGCATTTCGTTTAACATTACTGTGCACTCTATTGATTGATTATTTTTTATGTACATATTAATTTTAGAAACTTTATTAATGTATTTTAATTAACATTATTTTGTAAATATTATATTGTTTATATAATAAAAAAATATATTCAGGGAGTAGCTTGCAGGATTGGCAGAAAATCGAGAGAAGAAATTCCCCCATTTATGTTGATGGATTCGAGATCGAGCGCCATTAGGAAAATGGCCCATTTTTTCGTGTTAATGGCCCTCTTTTACCATTAGTGTAAATGGCCCATTATTATTTGAAAGAAAATGGGTCAGTCTGGTGAGTGTGAATAGACATAGGCCGAATGGTCAAATGCAACATATTTATTATATCTAATTGAAAAAAAAAAAAATAATAAGAAGGATGGACCAGCTCGCGGCCCGTGCGGGCTACCCCTTTTAGGCCCATTCCCTTTTAGGCCTACTCTGTATTTATAAAGTAACCAAATCGAAACATAACATCATATTCAAATCTATAAATTTGTGTAGATAATCTTTTTGTACGTGTAATTAAGTATAATAAATAAAAGATATAATTAAGTATAATAAATAAAAGATAATAAATAAAAATAAATTAAGAAATGGAGGTTTCAAGACTTAACAAATATTGTTAGTTGTAACTTCTTAATATTAATAAGAAAATTACATCTAGAACTTTAAAACTTATTTTTAGTGAGGGTATTCTTGGCAATTCAAAAATTTCAAGAAACTAATCTAAAAGCTCAGTCCAGCCCACCCTTTTAGCAGAGAGAGGCGAGTTGGCCTGCGCCTTAGCCCATTTTGACATGTTTAAACACCTGTGCGTAACGACTTATGCCACAATCGTTCTAGGAGCTCTAACGATTAGGCGAACTAACGGTGCTTAGGCAGTTGTGAAACTACTCATGCCTAGGCAATCTTGGTGCCCGTATATTTTGTGTGTTTTTTATTTAATTTACTTTCAAATGTAAAAATAATTTTAATTTTAACTCATGATAATTATATTAATAATACAACGAAAATATTAATAGTTATATCACAATCAATACAATAATTATGAATGCATTATGTTTTGCCTAACTCATGTATCTGATCATACAAATTAAAATATTTTATCTAATGTATTTTATAAATTATATATGATGATAAATATAAATAAATTTATTAATTATTTCTCGACTCTGCCTGAACGCCCAGAGTGCTAGGCCTCAGTTCACCACTTTTAGAACATTGCCTTTTACCAAACTCTTATAAAATAAATTTACCATCAACCTGCTTCTCAAAAAATAGAATACCATGGGTCAGGAAAAATTCATCGAACTCACTCAAAAATCAATGGCAGTAACAATTTCTCCAGCCATTTAAGTAATAATTTAATTCTCTCCTTAAGTTGGTTCAAATAACAACATATTCACGGCCTAACCTTTGATTGAAGAATAAAATAGAGTAGAATAAAATATACTATAGAAAAAACCTAAAGCACAGAAATTAGATAGTAAGTAAAAAAATATTTTGATTGAACTGCAGGAATCTATATTATATTATATATACATTGAATAAACTTGAATTTGGATGGTGTATACAGTGGTGTGCACCAACAGCTTCAAGCGACGGCGGTTTCTGCAGATCGGCGTCGATAATTTTCACCATTCGCGGCGGTTCACATGGACATGGCAAAGCTATGAATTTCGGAACATTATCCCCAGCCATTATAACCGGCAAACTCTGCGTCTCTTGCTGTTTTAAATTCTGGGCAAAACAATAAACAAATTCAATGCGCATTTCAATTTTCCCCCCTTTTCTTTTCTCCCCCAAAACTAATTACCCAAAATTTCAAACTAACAATCATTAATTACTGGTTAAAAATAATTTTATAGAAAATAGATCTTAATGAGATGCATATATACCATTAGTGGAATGATGGGCTTCGAGGGGCGGAGAACGGCGGCGGAGGCGGCGGCCTCGAGATCGGCGGTGGCGTGGAAGGACAAGGAGCGGCGGCGGAGCTTATCCCAGTGGTAGCAGCACGAGCATATTCCGCTGAGGCTGAAAATGACGACGAGCAAAAGGGCGGTGCCGAGGGGGAATCCGACGGACGGCCGGGAGTCGCCGCCGTGGGAAGCCGGCTGGGCACTGTGATATGGAGCCTCCATCTAATTGTTGATATTTTCGTTCAAATTTAGTCAGGTGTCCAGAATTTTCCACTCCCCTCATATGAGGTTCAACAATTAAATTTTCTAATATATTAAATTAAAATAATTAAATAATCAGTGCATATATGTGACTAAGCAAGGAATAAATGGGAAAGTGAAGACTAGTCTAGTGTGATGAAAACTGTGAGGAGTTAAAGCGTGAGGATGGGAATAATATTTATAGCAAAATTGGGGAGTTCTGTTCGGCCCATGCTTTTTTAAACTTTTTAATTAAAGAACACTTGTGTTGTGTACTGTGTAGTGTAGTGGCTACTTTATTATATTAATTATATTATTATTATTATACGGAAACAAAACGGTTTATATTAATTTGTAGAGTATGATATTTATTTTGAAAATATGTAAATACTTATTTAGAAAAAAGTGATTGTCTCACTATTAAGCATGTCTAACAACAACATTATTGTAAAATGTTGAACAAGTACATATAATTGGGTTTTCGTTTTAATTATGAATATTTGAATAATATTGATTTGGAGTAAAGGACTAAGCAGAGTCCAAACTAGTCACCCCTTAGTTTGGTTGCTAGGCAACAATTTCGTAGTATTTTTTTTTTATTCTTGTCTTTTTGTTATTTTTTTGTCTTAGACCTCTTTTTCTATCTAAAGTCTACCCTATAAATGGTTGTTGGCCCATTTAGAGCTATGATATTGGTGGGCATGAAAGCTGCGTTTGATTTGCTTGTATTCGCAGGGGAGATTGAAGTGAGATTTTCCTTGGACGAACATGAAAGCGAAAAATGTGAAGATTAATTTTGGATTTGGGAAAGGGAAATAAAAGGGGGAAACCAAATGATGCGCTGGTTAATGTTATTTATTAGCTGTTTTTCGCTAATCCATCCTCCCCGTGTGTGTGTTACAGAGAGTCCCTATGGGTTTGGGTCCCCCACAAGAGTTGAAAGACCTTCCTTCCTTTTTTTTTTTTTAAACGACATCATATATTAATAAAACACATATTTACAAGTGATTAACTAATTGAATGAAATAGTTGAACACTGAATTCAGAGAGATATACAAGTCAGAACGATCGAAGCCTGAAAACTATTTAACTAAACACACTTACAAAAACTAGCAAAACTAGAATATTAAAAAAACTAACAAAACTAGAATACTAAACTCCCACGAGTGAAGAATACTAACTTTCAACCAAGAGAATAAAACACAAACACCACTAGTGCTGTAAACGAACCGAACCGAACCGAGCTTAGGTAGTTTGAGCTCGAGTTCGAATAATATTCGAGCTTGTTCGAGTTCGTTCGTTTACTAATCGAGCCTAGATTTATGTTCATTTTCGTTAGTGTATTTGTTCATAAAGTTCGTGTTCGGCTCGTTCAGTTAAACGAAATTATTTNATTAACCAGAACAAGAATATCCAAAAAATAAGCCCAAATAACATACAAATAATGGTGGGATGCGTTTGGTGGTCCTTAATGGAGCGGCCTCTGGATGTGCGAGAATTCGAGTGTGAACTGGAAGCCTGCAGATGAGGTTGGACGATGTTGTCATGAATTGAGGGTTGTGTGAGAATTCCGAGTGTGAATGATGCTTGAGGTTGGACGATGGCAATGAAATTGAAGAATTAAGACGAGAGAGAATTTTGAGGTGATGCCGATGAAATTGAGGGCAAGAGTGCGATTGGAGTGAGGGGCTGAGGGTTATATATCGCCGGGAAACAATCAGAGGACGGGAGGTGAGAGACGGCGGCCAGCAGGGTGGGCGATAGCCGATGGCGATGGAGAGTTGGAGTCTGGAGACGAGAAGAGGTAGAGAGGGACTAGGGTTTTGATTTCTGAATCTTTGATTTTGGTTTGAACTTTGAATCCCGATCTTGCCTATTTGTCGAGAATTCGTGGTCCACTATCCAATTTAAAGACATTTTTTTAATGTAATTATGTTTATATAATATCATTATAGTGGTTCCATTCGCGGACATGTTCGTGTTCGTTCGGATAATAAACGTGCTGAATTACATGTTCGAGCTCGGCTCGATTGTTAATCGAACGATCTCTAAACGAACACGAACGAGCTTTCGTTCGTGAACGTTCGGTTCTTTGCAACACTAAACACCACCACAAAACACAAACACACAAACCTAAAACACTTAACACACTAGCTACTAGCATACAACACTCCTCACCAGTCGAAAACCACTCTGAACTGCCACAACTTGAACCAACCCTAAGGGAATCTAATATAGGACAATTACACGTCCGACAACTAAAAAGGACATAGAAACTCCCTGATGGTAATGAGGACAAGGATGATCCTTAGAATCTTTGATTTAGTTATTTATTTCTTTTATCAGAGCTCCTCAAGTGAATTATCTCGTACAAGAACAACAAACCAAGGCACACAAAACTAAGAAAAGAAAATATACAAAATATCGAGAAAAAGGCAAAAACATGACTAGCATGACACACTATTCACAAAAGCACAAACACCAAATTTCAAGAGAAATAGAAAACAATAAAATAATTAAGAGAAACACGCAAAATTAAGTAGAGTCACTAAAAGCAAGAGAAACACATAAACAAACGATAACTAGAAAGTAAACTTGGCGTCCTAATTGCCTTCCCCGACAACGAAGCTATTTGTTGAGTATAAAAATTGGGAATTGGTTGATTACCGAGTAATTTTAAAGGGAACATTAAATGTCCTTACATTCTAACGAGATTGATTTGGTTGATATTAAACTAATTTTAACTAAGAAATTAAGAGAGATTACCTAAATATGGAAGAGTTAACCAAAGATTTAAACTTTACCTAATACGGAGTCTTCAATACTCGAGAAAAAACGAAAACAAAGATAAACGAGCTAAGTCTAACGCAACTAGAGTCAATCATTCAATCACGAACTAACCGACCTTTCAACAAAGTCTTGATTTTTAACTTGAAAGATTCAACCTTTAACCAACTGATCACACTAGATAAGCCAAAAAAAAGATAGGATAAGAACTTTAACAAAAACTGAGTCAATCCACATAAATTCCGACCAAGACGCCATTTTTACCTCAAACTCGTAGTAAGCAATAATAGAGAAACTTCGAAATAATAAGTCTTAAACTATGTACTTACTTTCCTATTGCATGCTCGTACAAAATAAACGCAAAAAGCTCAAAACTTAAATAAGAAACGACATTACTAGAAATTAGGAATCTTGAAGCTCCCAAAAACATAAACTANAAAAAAAAAAAAGGAAAAAGAGCTAAATCTTAAAGTGGAAAAGTGAAAAATTAAGTCTAGATGTCTCAATTACAAAAGGACTTAATTTATTTATAGTCACACCTCAAACAAACACATTTACTAAAAAAACACTCGCTGACTGGCGGAAGTGTGCGAGAATCGCTCGGAGAGCGTGCTGGCGTGGGCATGTTGGCAAGCACGCTGACGGGGACACTTGCGGGCTGCTCGCTGGACGAGTGTGGGCAACGGTGGCGAGGTCGCTGGCGGATTGTTCGCTAGGCGAGTGCACTGATGCATTGGTGGGCGCGCTGGCTAGACGTTCACAGGGCGAGTGCACGCGAGATAGGCGTGCTGGCGGGATGGTCACTCGGCGAGTGTAGGCAAGCTGACGGGCGCAATGGCGAGATGATCGCTCGGCGAGTGTAGGCGGGCGCGCTGGACGCTGGCGATGGATAGCAAGCGTTGCGCAGCGTGTGCGCAGGCAACATGCAATGGTCGACGGGCGGTGCTTGGCGACATGGTGCGATACTGAGCGCGGGTGTGCAAAGAACGACTCTCGATGACGCGTGCAAGCTCTTGACAACGGGCAAGTGATCCTTGGCAACGACTAGAATTTTGTTGGGCAATAGCTCGACTTCCTCACGCTTTTCTCATTGTTCTTGAAATTGGATAGGAAACGTTGCTGAAATGCTTGAAAACACTAAACGACACGGGAAAGCATGCCAAACACAGAAAAAAAAAATGACTAGACTGAACAAATAAAATACATAAAATTAAGTCTAAAACGTACAAAGCAATCATCTTCATCATATAGTACATAACTAATATCTCCTATCTAAATGTCACATTTCTCTTCTTTATTATTTTTTTTATTTGGATACATCATTAAATGAGGAGAGGAAAACATTTGTCTGCAGACTTTGTACGGCTCTTCGAATGTCTAAAGGACAACATTACTCAAAACTTGTGCGATAGGACATTAATTGATTAATATATAGTGGCAGTCACGATGCTGCAGCATACGGAAACAACAATTTACATACCTTGCTCTATTTACAGGTATTGATTTTGATCATTACAATGTGATTAAAATTTTTGTGGTTTCACAAACGCAAGTTTTCATATTAGTTTCAAACAAGGTGGAGAAATTGTTATGTTGAGACAAGCTCCACGTTTAGTGCTTAGCGGCAAAACAGCTTGGCTCGATTTTTGCCGTTAATTGATTATAAGTCGATCATGTAATTCACTTGTTCGCCAAAGATTGACTATGGAATTCTAGGCAGAAGTAAAAACCTATAACCTTGTTTGATATGTTTGAGACAATAAACTACTAAAATTTGGAATTGGAAATTTCCTGCCCTTATAATGGTCAGCCTAGGCAATTGCCTAGGCTGAATTTTTGTTGCTAAGTATATAATTTATATAGTTAACATGTGTAAAGTTTGAAAAAAATAAAAAAAAATATGTGTTAATTAAAAATTTATATTTAATATTTGTAAAAATATAAATACAAGTTTTTATTTTAAAATTTTATATAATTCTTACAAAATAACGTTATTTTATTTATTTAAAATAATACACCTCACCTATCAGATTCGATAGTCTTATACTACAATATTTTTAATACTTATATTATATAGTAGGCTTGACAGATAAATGTATTGTTTTTCAATTATAATTGATAACTATTTAACTTTTTATTAATAGGAATCAAATAGATATGATTATTTTAATTTATATATACGATATGAATGTCAAATTATAGATCGTCAAAATATAATAATTTAATTAATAAATTATATTTCAAAATGACTTTTTTATAACTTATTACAAAAAATGAAAAGAAAGTGATTATAAAATATTTTTGTTATATTTCTTAACAATAATAAAAACGTGAAATCAAATAACCAGACTTTATTCTCTATTTCATTTTTGAGCATTACGTTAAAGTCAACTTAGATAGGGAACACCTGAAGACCCGATTTGCTTCAACAATTTATTTAATTATTAAGATAAGTATTTTATGTAGTATGG